CAGGAATTATTTCCTTAAGAAAACAAGGTATCTTTTCCTGTAAGATAGCCTGATCCCTGTGGCTCCAGGAAGGATTTTGAAAGCAGGCAAATCCCCCAAAACAGAAAATTCTAAGCAAAGTTTTCAAATTCATTAATAATCATTGCTCCCAAAGGTAACTGACACCTGAAAGTATACTAAATCACAGACTTTGCTGGCCATCACTAACACTGCTCCCATATGACTTCTGCATCTTACGCTGCTATGAGCTTTAAAAAAAACCCCCAAAATCTAACCGAACAATTCAGAGTTGAAGACTGAAGGCACATTTTCACACCGCAGTGTCACAGGGAGAAATCAAGAAGCCCATCTCAGACAACTGGGGACTTCACACACTGATACCAAAGTATGCAGAACAACTGCGGCCTGATGAGCCAGCTCTGTCCTGATTGCAGAGGTAGAAACCCAAACCTAGACAACAACAACAAAAAAAAGCGCACCTAAGATGTGTCACCCAAAACAGAAGCTTTCTGATGAAACCCAGGGATGACATTTGACCATGCCAGTCAACCTTTATATCTGCAATACAGCTGGAGATAAACTTTAGGTGAAGCAACTGGCTTTTTCAAATGTACTAATCAAGTTGGCCCAGCACAAAGATCTCTGATGCTCTCGAGCATGAGCCATTGGCACAGTTTAGGGTGCACAACCAGTCCCCTCAAACAAGGCTGTCTCCATGGCAGAAATGCAGGGCTCCACTCTCCTTAGGGCTGAGAATCATCATCCACCTCACCAAGGTGACATCCTCCACCCCACTGTACCCCAGCGGACCTGGCAGCAAGACTATATGCTCAGCTCAGCCCAGCTGCTCCCAACAGAGGTAATCCTCAATTCCCCATCTCAGCCTACAGGAGAGGCAAAGATCAGAGAAGCACAGGCCAGGTTGGAGGCCAAGCAAATCAAATTGACTCCAAAAGCCACACTCAAGCAAACCCTAAGAAGGATGCTAAAAACCAAATGCCTCAAGGTCTCCTGGAACAAATCCAGGTGAGACTGACACCTGCTAGATCCACAGCTGAACCTCACAGCAATGCCCCCAGTCCTGCTGTCACAGATCCACTAACCTGACACCAACAACCTGCATGCAACTCTAGACTGAGTCAAGAGAAGGGTCATTTGGGAGATTCTTCACCCAGCACAAAGTGGGCTTGTGACCCTGGCAAAAGAAGCAGGAGCATGCTCACATCATTTGCTGTGACATGTTGAGAAACATGAATAAAAGAAAACATCAATCAGTATGAAATGGATGACCTCATGACTACAGAAGGAAGATAAAAATAATCCTGTAGAATTTTATAAGTAGGAAACAACCAGAAAGACTGACATACAGTTCATCACCACATTAATGATCTATTGGGAGTGAGGGGTAGATAAACAATCGAGTGCAGAAGAACCAGCCAAGGAAAGGTGGTGTTAGTACCACTGCGTAAGACAAGTACAAGGCTTCATCTGCAATACCATGCAAAAACATACATGGCTGAATCACACCTACAAGTCAGCGAGTGCAACCTCTACTCACTCCTTCCTGGCCACCACCTCCTTCCACTGCTCTTCCCATTTCTCTTCTTATCCATCCCATCTGTTGTTTTTCTTCCTCTCCTCACCTGATAGCCTCAACTTACTTTCAGCACATATGCAAGGTCTTGCACACAAGGGAGAGCTGACAGAAATCTACATCACAGTAAAGGAGAAGAGGAGGAAACAAGGAAAACAGCAAAAGATGATGATGCATGGCTAACAGACTGCAAAGGTAATCTTCTACAAACACAATGGAAAACAGCGTGACTTTCCTGCCTCGAACAGAAGCAGGGGCCGTCATTACCAGAATGGTGGAACATGTGCACCTCTCGCCATGTAAACTGCATGGTTGACACAAGTTCAAGAAACATCCCAGTTTACAAGCACAAGCAGTGTCAGACAGGGCTGTTCAGACACTCCCCTCATCTGAGAAGAGTAACTACAAAATTGGAGGAAATTCCCTGAAGTTTTGTTCGAATGCCATGAAACATACGCATCTTCAGTTTGGAAGAGGGTCAACTAACTCTGCTTCTAGTTTTACTGTTGATACCACAGAGTAGAAATTGAGCAGGGAATACCTGTTAAGGCTATGCGTATAGATGTTACATGCATTCTACTGTTTCTCTATAAAAACAACTGCTCCACTAACAGTCTAATATTTGAAAGACAACTAAATACCAGCAATAGTATTGAACAATGACCAATTTGAAATTTTGCAAAGATAGATGTAAGCCTGGAGAAGTAACAGAATTAAGTTTTAATAACATTTTCCCAAATAATACAACATTTGCAGTTATCAACTATGTATCTCTATTAGGGTAACTGCAGTGCATGCACTAGTTTTAAGACCACACTGATGGTATCTAGCTAGTATCTTTCCATATCCACATGTTCACAAGTGGAAGTTTTAATTAACTTTCCCAAAACAGGAAAGTTATAGTAAATTCCAGCTGGTTCTTTAAAAACAAGAATTTATTGTACATAGTTTTCTAGTACCATTCTACTGACTGGTAGAGCATTACTGGACCCAGGCATAACCAAACAAGAAAATTTTGCCAGTGGTATCCACTGCATTCTTTCCAATGACTGCTACCGATCATTATTCTTTGCATTTGACTGCATAATGTTTTAAGATGCCTATTGCAAGATGCTAGCATCGTTTCACTGCCATCTGTGCAAGAAACTCCCCTATCCACCCCAGAAGCTTGGACTCAAAGATGAGTCTTTACTGCTCCATTTCTCCCTCATAAACAAATATTCCTCCCTTACACTAGGATAAAGTGAACAATTATCCATTTTTTTCACCTTGGTTCACCTAAAGAAGAAAAAGCAAAGGACCAGAACACACAACTACATTTTTAATGGATTACTGTACTTGATTGTATGGTACACTTGGTCACAGAGTCTAAACAGTATGGATACATTTACTTGTTAAATCAAAGAGCTAATGAAAATAAGGCAACCAATAACACTAACCTTCTACCGAAAATGTGACACTGAATATGCCAACACTAAGGAACTTACGGTGCTTTTATTTTCTTTATCTAAATTTACAATTTCAAGGTGACACCTTCAATCTCTCTGCAACTTTGAACAAAGCTAAGTAAAACAATATGAAATTTCAGAATAAAGGAAGTTACAGAGATTTTTTAAAAATTACATTAGTCTCTGTAAAATATTGCCATTGATTCTTCTTAATGGAGGTTGCACTGATAAAACCAAGTGTAGCTATTACAATAGGAGAAAACCCTGTATATACTCAAACAGTAAGCCAAATGACAAAGGATTACTACTGGAACTCTAAACATTTCAAGTAATTTCACACAGCAGAGGTGGTAGTTACTAATTTGAACTGCCTTCACATACATTTCATTACTTGAGTAACAGAAGATTACTTGAATCAGTGGGAGATGAAATCTAAATGACCTGAAGGCGAGGTGAATTTAGTCACTTTCTGACAGAGCACTACTATCGCAGAAATGCACAAACCAACTTACACACAAAATACCTTCCTCCCCTAGTAAGAGGCTGGACGGTAAGACTATAACTGGGCGTTCTCAACAGAACCCAGCAGAACAACAAACTGAAAGTTTTAACTAGATCTAATTCCAAATGAAAAATGGTTTAAAACAGGAAACACAAATTTGTCCTTAACTTATTATAGAGCATGAATTTGCTATCTGTTTACTTTTCAATTAGTCAAAGTTGTAAAACTATCTAGTGACACAAAAAGCCAAAAAACCCCTAAGCACTGAAATAATCAAAGCATTACAAACAATTTCCAAAACTCTATTTTAAGAGTAATAGGCATGTCTGTCATCCTCCTAACTTGCACACAACCAAGCACATAGAAAACAAAAATCTATTCAAGAAAGCAAAACTTGTTACAATTCCTTTCCCCTCCAAACTTCTAACAGTTCCTTTCAGGCTAGGCTTTCACAGGCATTTTTAAGCTGGTACTGTCACCAAAGCAGCATCCACACCCTCCTCTGACTGGCAATATCAACTCCTTCAATATGTCCCCTCCCTAATATCAGCACCAGCTTTCCAACTGATGCGTACAAATTGGACCAGAAAAACAGTATTTTTTTTTAAGTGACCATGTAAGTTTCAAGCTTGTATTAGTTCCTTTACACAGCCTGTCATGCAACTGAGATGGCACGCAGACAGAATTGCTTCTTTGTATGTCAGTGACTGCTTACATCATACATAAAACTACAGCATTAGACCACAGGATGTAAGAGGCAGATTACAACAGTACAAGTTTATGTATCCCAGGTGACCCGAAATCAATCCTTTACATCGACGTTTGGGATTTTTGTAGTCCTAAAAAGTAACACGTACAACTAGAAAAGTTGGGAAGTACGCGGCTAACGTGTAAAGCAAGTATTCCACTCTATTGCTAGCCAATGTTTTGGGAGGAGAGAAAGAAAACACCTCAGTAACTCCACAGGACAACAGAACAACGCAGAAACGTAACTAAGCTCACTTTCCAAATTGACTAGCCACTTGGAGCTCATTTTAGTGTTAGAAGCCTGTAACATCCTCCCTCCCAATTAGTTAATATCACAGGCAACTTAAGCTGTTCCTCCATACAAACCATTGCAGACAACACATCTCTGTTTTACTGAGGGAGAACTCAGAGGCAACCATCCCATCACCCCAAGGGGCTGACTTTGGCAAGCTAACACGATGAAGTTGAACACAACCGAAGTTCCTGGTCTATTTTTTTTTCTCCTACTGAAGGACAGCTCCCAGATAATGCACATTTTTTGCGGCAATGAAGGAAACCTACAGAAGTTATTACACAAACTCCCACATTAACAGCAACATAGTACTAAATTTACCAATTAAAAAACCCCCAGCTTTTAAAAACAACTGCTTAGGGTCCTCTGTTTTCATCATCTTTTTGAAGATTTGTAGGTGGGAAAAAACAAAAGCAGATGGGTGGAGAGATAAAACGGTCAGACATTACCGTTGTCAGATTTTGCTAACTCCACTGCATGAAGTGAAACGCAGGCTCCCTGCCAACAACCAAACCAATTGAAGACATTCTGGAATTTCAGCCTCCATTTCAGACTGTTCTTTTTCATCTGGCAGTTTCAACTTCTTTATGACAGCTATATCCACCATACTTACACTAAAAGTCTCAGTCTTTTTATCAGCAATTAAAGAACCAAGTAGTTTTAACCAGTCTGGGACTATGAACTAAAACCCAGAAGTTATCGTGTATTTGGTCTGCATATTCCCAAAAGCACAAAACATTTTTACTTTAGATGTACAGCACATTTTGGAGTTTAAGTAAGAGAGGAAGACAATTTAATTTTGGAGTACATCAGCCATAAGCTTAATTTTCTGTCCTTTCTTTACTTCTCCTAGATAAATGAGTTCATTATAGTGGGTAACCCTACTTCAGCTCTAATAAGTAAGGATTAAGAAGTTGCATTTCACCCAAATATCCAATACGTCAATTTTTGACCTCTGAATACAGCTTTCTGAAGATCAAAGCAATTTTTTTTGTAGCCAAGGAATAACGGGTGAGACATTATATAATTCCAATACAAGAATACTTCCAAGCAGTTACATATTTCTTTGCACTGTAAACTGCATACAAATTTTCTGCTGTAGCTATCAAGCTTGCAAGAACCTCCCTATCAGGAAAAAATATCTGAAATGACCAGACCACAAAATCGACTCATTACTACACACACATATATCAGAGCCATTGTTAGCAGCACACTGAGCTTAAGTAAACAGCTAAGATCAAGGAATTTCATAATTAATAACATTCACAAGACACTAAAATCATTTTACTTAATATATTAAGGCATAGCAAAACCATTAATACACAACATAATTTTCATTTATGTTTCAAATTCATTTAGAGACTATGTTACTTATCATTCCAAGCCCTCCAAGTGGGCTGACTTTAGGCATTCCAAGATAGATCTAGCCAGGCATTGCAAAGCACATTGGAAAAACTTTCCTGTTAGCCAAGAAACACATTATACCAACCTAAAGTGAATTGAAACATTTAAGTATTTTCTAGGCTTCTGGTCAAAACACTAAAAACTTAAATACTCGAGTGGCTCCCTACTCTAAAAAAAGCTAATTGCGCATGACAAAAATTAAATTTAGACATCTCCTTGTCACTTAAACCACTAGGTCTTCTCTCATCTTTTCAGTGACTCACAACAACAACTTCCACTCTCCTAAACTACAAAAACACATCTATTTTCCTCTCCAGTATAAATAAGATTTTTATTTCAGCTTTCTGGTTTACTCTCCTATACACAAAGCCTTTGTAAATTTTAAAACTAGAACTGAGTTGGATTAACAGTCTTTTCAGAACCCAACACTTGTCTTCAGGTGTTTACACAAGCATTCCTTCTCCATCATTAACTCAAATACCTATTTCTTAACAAGGCCAATGTATGTCTTAGCACATACAGTGTACTGTCCATTCAGATGTGTATGTGCCTCTTAGCATGTGCTACAGCATAAACACTCAGCTGATCTCAGACAACAAATACTCTCATTAAGGGTCACAGAGAAAAAAGAACCACAACATCTAAAAGGTCCTGATGGATTCCCATCACACTCACTATACCAACATCACATTAGATGGGAAAATACATTTGTGGACAAAGCGTAAAACAGAATAAAATACAATCAAGTTACTTTCAGTGTTGTTGATAATCTATACTGCCACGAGATTTGTAAAACAGGCTTTTTAATCTAGCAATAGTCTTGCCTGTCGTGCAAGACTTGATTCTCACTTCCCATGACTGCCACAAATTCCACTTTAGCAGCATATAAACTATTTACCACATGATCCAGAACTCTCAAAAGAAAAAAAAAATCCTATTCTATAGAACCCATAATGCAGAGGAATAAGTCTTAAAAGAAAGTAAAGTTTAGCTTGTCTTACCTTGTTCATGGCTCCAGGCTGTGGCCCTCTCAGTCCAGCCTGTGCTCCCATCTGCGGAGAGCCTTGTTGCAGGGTCTCAGCCAACAAGGTACCAGCACTACCCATTCCTGGGTTTGGGTATGGCATATTGGGTCGCCCTCGGCCTGCTCCAATTGAACCGTTCATGACTTGCCCCTGCATCATCCCTTGTCCATTGCCTGCTGCCAACATCCCAGGATTCATGCTAGCATTCATCCCTGTGTTCATTCCCATGCCAGGCTGGTTAACTGGACTGTTTACTGTTGGCATCATTCGTGCTGTGGACTGGGCTGAAGGACCCTGGTTTGGTCCACTTGCACCCATTGCCATATTGGGAGAAGTCAACCCAGCCTGTGCCATGGGGCTCTTCACCATGCTGTTTAACATTCCCATTCCAGGACTATTTTGTTGGGTTTGACTGGCCATGCCCTGGCCAGGGCCACCAACCCCCATATTGAGATTTGGCGAGCTACCAGCCCGTAAAAGTTCAGACAGCTGCTTGTGTTTAGAGGCAGCATCTTGTGCCAGGCCAAGGCTGGTCTGCAGCTGATTAATGTCACCACCATTGGTAAGTCCCAGTTCTGTGGAGCTGATCAGTTCATCTGGCAAGTCATGTTCCAGATCAAAGAGTGATCCAAAATCTGAAAAACAAAACAAATTTCATATGAGATCAGAGTAATCAGTAATGTCTTGAAGAAAAAAATCTTGTTCATTAGTTTCTAATTTTTTTATTTCAAGTAACTAGCAAAACTTCACTTTCTACATTCTAACAGAATTCCTGAATCAGTCATTACTGAAAACTATCATGATAAAAGTAATTTCTAAACTTTACAGAGTCTAAACTAGAGAAGACCATTCTACTTCACTGTTCTACAACACTTTGTGTTGAAATATCACTGGGTATCTCAGACTATGATTTCTCAACTTGAGAAATTTGATGAGGAAGGAGAGGGAAAAAAACCTGTATTAAGAAAAATCCACAGAGTTAGCCAATAGAATTAGACAACAATTATTAGAAAGAATTAAAAGGTTGATGGAAAAGCACTGTCTTTAAAATTAAATTTCTGCTGAACTCTGTCACTTTTGGAACAGACATCGCTAATCTAGTAATACAGTTTTCAAAAAAAAAAAAAGTGTTTACTATTTATAAAATAATAAATAGAGGTTTGGTTGTGTGTGGTGTTTGTTCTTTTTTCTTTTTTTTTTTTTTTTTTTTTTTTTAAATATTCCACATCCAGTCATTCCCAGCACAGAATTGCAAAATTCCATAGAACTTCACTGGACAGCCAGTACCTTCCCACAACTAACTCTTTCAGAAAACAAAGTAACCCTCCTGGCCACGAAGCTATGAAAAAAACACTGGGACGAAAAATCGAATTTACATCTCAAGAGCCCATGCAAAGCAATCCCCAAGGTAACCAAATGGAGAATGATTACTATTTGGGATATATAGGTACAAGAATATTACACAGTACCCAGAATCAATTTGCTCAAGAAAACAAGAAGTTCTTATGTCTGCAGAAGCAGCATGCACCTTGATCCGTATATTTAGTCTATGGTAGTTAAAGCAAAAATAACCTAAAAAGTTTATGGCCAAAAGCTGAGGCACTGTGTGATGTAGCTATGCACAACTAGGCTGTAAAAGTTAGTATTTGGAATCTGAAAATACCTAGTAAAGGAGAGGTTTTTTAATTTTAACTATTGGAACATTTCTGCACCACTTCTGTCAGAAAAGTCATTTCACGGATGCCCTGTAGGAGGTATTGCACCGCATTTTCAAAAACTTCAGATCTAGACAACGACCTAAAATACTACTCATTATCTCAGCAACTGCATTTAAAAAGAAACGTCAATTGCACTGAGTTCTAGAGAGGCTGGCAAGATGACTTGATCCAAATATTAATGGAAAAAGACTACAGTTAAACAGCACGTAAGCCAGAAAAGCCCATCAGCATTAGAAATCTGTTCAACATGTCTCACACAATACCATACCCAAACTGTCAAACTCCAGTACTAACAGAGTTTCTACAACTTCACAACTGTTATCACAGATAAGATCATGACTTAAGAATTGTGAAAATATGGTATGAGGTTGGCAAGAATGCCGGTATACCACAACAGAGGAGATTTTATAATTCTATTTATATATTCTTCATTACTGCAAAGAACCAAAAACAGAATGAAAATTTCCACTAAAGAACTATGTTTCAAACTATTCAAATCAGTTAGCCCATTCTTCATGAATGTAAATCTCATAGTGTAAGTTATGCTTTGCAACACATCCGAAGGATTGTTCTTTCATTTGCATCATTGCTATTCTTCAGTATGACTGGTATTTTTCAAGATTCAGAATTGAAGGAAGAAACAGAAGAATGAAGCTTTGTCCAAATTCTCCTCCATTTAAAATGACAAATTTAGAGTTTCATGTCACCAGATTTCTCAAAACACACTCCCCCCCAAAAAAACCAAACAAAAAAACCAAAACAAAAAATCCACCAAAACAAAAAAACCCCACCCAAACCCACACAACCAACTTAATGCTCAGTGGTTAGCCTAAGAATTAAATATTGTTGAACATGGGAAGAGTTACAGTGGAAGAGACCCTCAAATTAGAGGGGAGATCAAGGCAATGGAGAAAGAAATAAAAAAAAAAAAACCCACGACAGTTTAAAGTATCTTCAACAGGCATCTTAAGATGCCTGTTAGGATGCCTTTAACAGGCAAACGTTGAAGCACTACATCCAGAAAACACTAACTAATAACCTGTCAAACAGCCCATGAGTGAGGAAGGAATAAAAAATATGATCAGTAATTCCAAAGTTAGTCTGCTGTCCAGAAAAAAAAAAAATTCTTAGTGACAAACAAAACTGAAAGTGAAAGTTAAATGTCTGGGAAGAACATGAGCCAGCACAAACCCTGCACCTACAACATCACCATAATGGCAGCACACAGCAACCTCCCATTTGCAAACTGGGAAACAGCTGTTGACCCACACAGCTCAAAGGCCAGTTTTATGACTGATGGTAGCTGGGGAAAGAGCTTCTGCTCTTGAAAAGACACAGCTTCCAGGACAGGATGAGTCCCAAACCAAAAAATCCCAACTTCACCTTTCTTGAGATCAGACCATTGTATATTAGGCCCTTCACAAAACTACCTGGAAAGTGATCACTAGATGTCTAAATATGAAGAAGTAATTTGTTTTTCAAACCACCACAGAATATTTGCTCAGAAAGACCCATTTAGATGATTTCAGACAAAATACTGCAAAGGGGCAGTGCAATTCTTGTTTTGAGAGACAAAGATTTGCTCATCTTTCTTCACAGGAAAATATTAATCTGCTTCTCTGAAGAGCTCACTCTTCTTGAAATTCCTCCTCCTCGTAAATTAGAAGATAATTCCAGCTTTAGGGCTTACTTGCTCACATCAGCTGGAGTATCCCAAGCTACCTCAGCTCCTTAGCCTGGTCATTCTGTGCCACCCATGAACAGGAAGAAAAATATCATAAAAACTCAGTGGTTTTAATTATTTTTATTAATGTCTCAAAACACAACAAATCAACAGCTACATTAAAAAACCCCAAACTCAAAACTAAATGGTTGTGAGATAATCCCAATCAGATTAATTCTTTACATCAAAAAAATGTAAACTGTTCTCTCCATATAAGACTAACTTGTTAGGATTTTTAATCCTTGAGAATACACAACAGATGCCTCATCGCAAAAGAATACTATCAGCTACAAGCCAAAATCTTAAGTAGTAAATACCAGCAATGCAATATTCTGGTGTGAGTTTGCTGTTTTTATAAGTCTTTTCCAAAAACAAAACTTCAAAGTCTTCTTCAGCCAGTAGATAAACAACAAAACTAGAAAAAAAACCCAAACCTTCCAGTTTTCTGGTTAACTATGAAAATTACATTTTTAGTCAACTGCCAGGAGGCAGAAGTTTTCAGATACAGGACTGAAACACAAACAGTCTCAAGAGACCATAAAGATCAATAAGACTTTGTGTATATCTAGCAACAGTGGTAATCCATTTCACAGTCTTTTACATACAATACGTATCCTAAAGCCCACTGTAGAGGGGTCTGCCTAGGAACAATCCAAAAACTGACAAGGCTGGGCCAGACAGCTCATAGACTATGTGAAAATAATGACACATACACTCACACAAGAGCCAAAGGCATAGCTTAAGACAACGGTAATAAATATCCAGAGAACCAATTGACTTTCCAGTACGCAGAGTCCGCTGCTAGCCTTGCAATCTGTTTCATTAAGGATACACATGAAGGTTTCTAACTAACAAAATAAAGTTTGTGGGAAGGCGAAGAAGGCAGGTTAGTCCTGCAAAGGTTTGTCTACCTCATTCATAATCCCTAGAGATCTTAGGGTATAATCAGACACAGAAAAACTGGGAAGTAACAGAACAGACAGTATTTGGACTAAGAGCTCAAAAACATCAAGTAATATGCAGGCAGTACGTGGTAGAGCTAAATCTTGATCTCAGTAGAGTGGCACAGAATGATTCCACGTTACATAATTTATGGTATTATTAGTGTGTTTCTTTCCATAGGTAACAAGAAGATATAGAATAGATTGCTACTGCCACCTAAGATTCGAAGGAAAGAGAAGAAAAGTACCTCCACAAAACAACACCTAAGTAGGTAATCAAAGTCTTAACCTGAGGTAATGTCAACATGCAAAGGCATATAAAAATTCCTTTTAGGAACTGTACCACTACTGAACACTTAAGCAAGTCTTTTTTTGTAAGGTCAAGAAACTGGCCTGACTCGCCCTGGGTACACTAGATCTGTGGTGAGAAAGCAGGTCAGAAAAAGACAGTAGATGGAGCAGGTCCATTTCTTTCAATGGCAGTCCAGTTAGACTGGATTAAGTAATATGAACTGCACCCTAAAACTGTGAGAAAGCAACTTCAAAAATCAGTGTGCTATGGATTATTTTCTTAGCTTTGGACCCTACAAAGAGCTAACCTCTTAGAAGTCTGCCTTTGACAGTACCTAATCTGCAAGATACAAGGAAACTGCTGGCCTGCGTTGGAAACCCACCTGGCACCAAAATGGACTTCAAACTAGTACAGATTTAGAGCATGCAATCAAAATTCCTTAAGTCAGGTAAGACATCAGTGCCTTATCAAGTGATCAATTCCCAAATGAGTTACAAAGTATTTACTTCAAGTTAGTTTTACTGCAAGAGCACCCGGCAGCACCAGTGATGTAACAGCTCTCAAAGCATGCAAGGCAGGTAGAGATTTCTGGCAACACTTACGACGCATGGAAAATACATCCATTTAACTACCTAGCAAAGAAATAGGTATGTGGGTTCAAGTGGCACATGCTAGTTTCTTTTGCGTGCTTTCTAGCCCAGTCATGATGCAGTCATTTTCTCATTCCTGGATTAAGACAACAGCCCTCTATTCACCTTTCAGAATAAAACAGGCATTTCTATCAATATGGAGATTATCTGGTTCTAGCAAAGAGGCTGCAGTGAATAATAGCAGTTTTCTAAGAACCTGCCACATGCTACACAAAAAGGTAAGAATGCTCTACTCATGTGTACTGTACCCTCAGACTCCAGACATTCAAGCATTCAGTCTCAAAGAAGAGTTGGTGTATCTGAAGAAACAG